CATGACAGGCCCCCTAGCACCCCACCTATTTCGCATTTGCAGGCGCAAGCACTTCAGCCGCCAAGATTTCGAGCATGCAACAATGACAACTGCTCCAACTGCTCAGCCAGGTGTAAGAGAGCACCCAGATGACGTTATGCTTGCATTACACTCCTTCATGAGTGATGTGGCCCCTTTCCAGTTGGTATTGCTTTTTCCAGCGCAAGAAGCCATCCACTTGCAAAATCACATGGTTGTCCAACCAGTTGCCAAAGCTGCATTGCGCATTCAGTTTTTTTGCATGTGGCGTTGTGCTGGTTCCATAAGTTTTTTTTAGTTTTGTTGTGTGGCTGCTAACTTATTGCACGGTTTGGCCTGAGGTTGGCAACAACCCCAGACGCCCCATTGCCCAGAAGGAGCGCAATGTCGTCAAGAAAGAGGCTGAGTTAGGACTTGCCAGGCAATGTATTAGCCAGAAAGCTCGTGACTACTTGGTTGGCTGGATCACTGAGACACGGCGCCGACAAGCAAGACCTGCCAAGTACGAGTTTTTGGAGCATCGTTTGACAAGGGGCGATGGTGTGGCCAATCGCAATCCACATGAGGTTGGCCCTCTTAGGCCCGTCGTGGTGCTCCGAGCTGCTGGCCACATGAACGCCTTACCCCAGGAGGAGGAGGAGGAGGAAGTCAATGTGGATGACACCCGCCCGTGTGAGATTCTAGAATAGGCATAGGATAATCGCCATAAGATTTGGTTGCAAAGCCAACCTTCGAAAAGCTATTTTGAGCTTACAAGTATTTCTGTTGTTGAGAGTGCCAATCCAAATTGTGTTCGTTTGACGTTGCCCGTGTGAGATTCTGGAATAGGGCAATCACCATAAGATTTGGTTGCAAAGCCGAACTTCGAACAGCTACTAATCCAAATTGTTTTCCTTTGACATTGGATCAGAACAACAGAAAGTCAGCTCGTTCTGGTTGCAAAGCAACCTTCAAAGATCTTTGAAGGACAAGGAAATGCTTTTTGGAGCTAACAAGTATTTCTTCCATTGACACTACCAATCCAACATGTTTTGCGCTCTTGGGTCAGAACAAATGAACAAAGCCATTTTCCGTGTCGTATCCAAGCACGTCCCAGCACTGAAAGTGCAAAAGGAATTGAGAAGAAGACGCCAACCCCTATGCCAGCTGTCCCAACACCTTCCCCACTGGCCTTGAGATCAGCCACCAAGCGCAGGCTGCCCGGTTCACCTGCACGCACGTTGCAAGCATTTGTGTGATCACCAGCACTGAAGTTGCTTGTGGAGCTGCAGCAGGCTCAGCTTGTCAACAGGTTTTGTGCTCATGGACTTGGTCCTTGAATCCCAGGTCGACATGGCCCCAGGCGAGCCCATGCCATGGAAGATGTACCTACGTAGGGCCCGATATGGCCTGGGGCCAGATATCCAGGAGCTTCAAACAATTTGATTGCCTTAACTTACCCTCTTGTGTCACACAACTTACAGAACCTGAGCAGGATCCGGGGAAATCACGCTCCAGATCTAGGTCCAGAAGCAATTATTTGAGCAACACTGTGCAAAACCAGGCATCAGTGACTCCCAACGTGAGCGTGCAAATTTGTAATTAGTGCGGGCCACCAAATAGTCGATTGCACATTGGGGCCAATCGCTTGCTTGTTAAAAGCTGGCGTTTGTGCTTTGGAAAACAATCGCTTGCAGCTGGGTCTTGTCAGCCTGACAGCTTGGCCTGTTTTCTGCCTCTCTGAGTCAAGCTTGCTGAAACTGATTGAGGTTGGTAACGCCCAGCGTTTTTGTCCATCAACTCCAAGGCGGCCCAACACTCAGTGGCACCAAGACAAGCCTCACACAATGAAAACATGGTTCTTCTTTGGCAACCCTCTCAATTGCCCAGCCTCCAAGGTTCAAGGTCATCGAAGCGACCTCAGGTCAGGCGCGTGCGTAGCTGGGAGAGGCAGGCCAGCAGTGGGTTGAGTTCACGAGCATTGGTTTGAAGCCAATGTGAAACATTCAGTCAGTCAAAGGCCGCCAGATGCTGGGTGAGAAAGTCCATGCCTGTTTACATAGTACAGCAGTTCCCGGGAACATGACTCTGATAGTCGCTTGACATAGGGCGTCAATCGCTTGATGTGGGGTGTCAGGTGCTCAACATTGTCAATCGTTTGACCTCTCTGTCTTCTCAATTTTTGTTCCAGATTTCAAGCCCTGCCAAAAGACCATTTCAGCAGAGAAACTCAATGCCTTTATATGACGGCCTAGTCGCAAACACATAGAGCGCGTCTGCAGATGCACAGGTGTGCAAGTGCGCGCGAGCAGGCGTGCGGGCAGAAACGAACGCAGCATCAAGCCTTGTCAGGGGACACCAGAAGACCCACCCCAAACCACAATGCCAACACCCTTGACATGCTGACCCAACCTCAAACAACGCTGGGTTTCAGTGAGTGGCGACGTAAGCCATGGATGCCAAACCAAGCTTTCAATGCTAGATGATGGAGGTCTTTCGGAGGAAGGGGTTGGTAACTTGCACTGAGAGCTGGCAGATCATGAAGGGGAAGCTGAATGGATAACCAGATTCTGACGGGCACATTGACGGACGGAGGCAAGAGGAAGGGAGGGAGGGAGGGAGGGAGGGAGGGAGGGAGGGAGGGAGGGAGGAAAGGCTATTGATGCGCGGCGCAGGCATGGCTGAACGATTGGTTTTTGTAAACGATTGGTTTGTTTCAGGCCGACATCACTAACTTCAGTGTGGGAAATACCTTCAATACTCCAGAATTATTTCAGCCCTGCGCGTGACCCCAGGGTAGGGTTTGAGTCTTGCTGAGTTATAGCAGCATGATGGAAAGCGCTGTTGGGACGACAAGTCAAGGGGACATCCACAATGTTGGGACCAAGCAGGCAACATGACCAACTAGCCAGGCACACCCTTAAAACCTCCCATGTCAGCAAGTAATGTTTCAACAAAATGTTGACCTAACAAGTATGCTTTAGAGCTATTTGCTTACTTCATGGCCGTTTCGGCCTATGGTTTTCATACTTCCTGGCCGGGCCCCGGGCCCGACCAGCCCAATCCGCCCCAACCAACGCCGCCACCGCCCAGCCGCCCAGGCATGCCTCTGCTTCTCCTGGCTTCTCCTGGCCTCGGATTTTTTGGCGCTCGTGTTGACGTGGATGGATGGAAAGCGAAAGTGCTTGCTAAATCAGTCTGTCACGCACGAATGTTTGCTCCAACCAATCACCCACAGAACAACCTTTAATACTAAAAACAGTTGCATCGCTTGACAGTTGCATCGCTTGACAGTTGCATCGCTTGACAGTTGCATCGCTTGACAGTTGCATCGCTTGACAGTTGCATCGCTTGACAGGACAGTTGCGTCGCTTGACAGGACAGTTGCGTCGCTTGACAGGACAGTTGCGTCGCTTGACAGGACAGTTGCATCGCTTGACAGTTGCATCGCTTGACAACTCAGGCAGCCTTTGTGTGCCTTTGTACTCTCGCGAAACGTTGTTGATGCCAACATCGTCAGGGGATTTGGAATGACATGACACTGCTGACACGACACAGCATGCCCGCACCCAGCTCTAGAAGGCGATTGTGTTTGCAAAGGTGCTTTGGACCTTCTTGGGAACTTCAATGATACACGGCCCACAGGGCCTGAGGAACTTGTGTGACAATTGTTCAGTGAAGGCCCACGTGGGGAACTCCTATAACTCACTAGCTGACCAGTCAATAAAAAGCCTCTTGTTCACCCCTTGCCATTGTAAAATCAAATCGCTATGAAAAAGGGAGAGTTGACCAGCATCTCTGGATTTCAGGGGTAGGTCCAGCTCACACACAGCTCAATGTGGCTCCTCCTCTTAAGAAACATTGACTAACTCAAGGCAAGTGGAACCCAGCCCCCTTCGCATTCCAATCTGCATTCTGAGTGCCCAGACTTGCCAGGCAGGATGACGGCGAAGAAGACGGTGGAGAGGTTGAAGATGAGCCAGGGCGCACCCCACTTAACAAATTCTTTGGTTCCCCCAGTGACTTCAGAGTGGGTTTTGTGGTATGGCCCCAAACTTGAGGAATTGCGCAAACAGGCTGCAATGCTTGGCTGGCTGCAACGTGTTGAGTTTCAAGCTGAGGCAGCTAGTGTGCGTTTTGAATCCAAACTAAGCACTTGCAACAAGCTAAAGACTTCACTAATTTGACCTAGGCGCTGGCAAATAGCATCTAGAAACTTTGCTTCTCATTGAGGTCCCAGCAAAAGATATTTATGTATATATGATAATCCATGATAATCCACACATTTATATGTGTGAGGAGAGCCTAAAACACACACAAAGCCCAACAGAAGCCACAAACACCAAGAAAATGAAACACCCAAATGCAAATGAAACACCCAAATGCCATGGCACTGGCTTCACCGCCTAACCAGCACAGCCAGCACAGCACACACTTGACACAGAAGTGCTCTCGGCAGATTGCCCAAGTCTCACTTCCAAGGAGCTTGCGAGCTTGCGGGCGAATCTGAGCACCAGTGATCCAACTGGGCAGAATTCCAAGATTTCAGCATTGGATCCGGCCAGGGCTTCGGCTTGAGGCCGGCTGGCTGCACCTTCGGGTGGACCTCCCTCGTTGCATTCGCCGGGCAGTTGTTGTTTCTTCTTGGAGGTCTGATGACGTGAAATGAGCTCAAAATGCCTGGCAACGTGGTGAGGACATTTACGACCTAAGAGTTATTCTCGGCCATCGGCCGGAAACAGCCTGGAAGTGGGAGAGTCTGTGAGGTTTGTGGCATCTCGGTGGACCTTGAACATCACATGGCGCATGCTGTGGATGGACCAAATCCCTTTCGCACCACTTTGGTTGAAACCATGGTTTGATGATATTTACAGGGGGAATCCAATTATTCTACGGTTTCTGATCGGTGGTGCGAGAAGCGGATTTCGCGTCCATCCACAGTATTCTCACCTCGGTGCTGAATCATGAACACAGAAACTGAAGCGAGATCGGTGCTGGCCTGAGGCGTCCTTGTGCAGTGGTTCACGCCGCAGAAGGCGGGGCGGTTGGGGCGGTTGGGGCGGTTGCAAGCGAAAAATGATCCACCCAAGACGTGTGGCTCGGTTTTGGTTGGTGTTCATGCTACCAGATTTTGAGTCCAACATGTGTTCATGCAACTCCAAGTTGCCCTTCATGGCATCGCATTGCTCATTGGTTCATGTCAAGCCACTGCATAGAATGAGTTCCACATGTTCCAAGTTGCTGTGCATGGCATCGCATTGCTCATTGCCTCATGTCGGTTCCACATTTTCCAAGTTGCTGTTCATGGCATCGCATTGCTCATTGGTTCATGTCAAGCCACTGCATAGAATGAGTTCCACATGTTCCAAGTTGCTGTGCATGGCATCGCATTGCTCATTGTCTCATGTCAAGCCACTGCATAGAATGAGTTCCACATTCTCCAAGTTGCTGTTCATGGCATTGCATTGCTCATTGCCTCATGTCGAGCCATTGCATAAAGTGAGTTCCAAGTTGCGGTTCATGGCATCGAATTGCTCATTGTCTCATGTCAAGCCATTGCATAAATGAGTTCCATGTTTTCCAAGTTGCTGTTCATCGCATGGCTCAATGCCTCATGGCGCTACCTCAAGGATTGAGTTCCTTATTTTCCAAGTCACTGTTATTCATGGCATGGCTCATTTCCTTTCGATGGCTCCCTATGGCAGGTATTTCTGGGGCTGAGCTTCCTCCCCGTGGTGGGCGCACTTCTGCCCGCAGCCCGCGGCTGGCTCGCAGAGCCGCGCCGGCCTTGCAAGCTGCAGCAGCCCGGCAGATCGGCAGATTGAGCAGGTGCTCAGTGGAAGAACAACAAGCAACAAGAAGATACAAATAGCACCGAGCAGTGGGTTGCACTGTGTGTTTTTTTTTTTCTTTGGTTCTTGTCACCATCCATTTTTTTCTCAGCGGGACACCTATGGACGCTCTTGGGATGCTCGGGAAGATCCAGTGCAACAGGAGAAGGCTGCCAGCAAAGCGCTAAAAAAGCGACAGGGATGTTCCTTAGGGTATTAGGTGTTTGGTTGGTTTAGCGGTTATAACTGAACTTTTAGCAGGGGATCAGTTTGGACAGCCCAGTGGAATGGTACGGATGCTGTGCTTGTTGGCCTGACCTTGAAGCTGGCAAAGCAGAAATGAATGAGCAACACGCACGCTCACTGGAAAGATGCACAAGCAAGAACCATGAGAGGCACATTGCACCCGTGAAGACAGCGTGCGCGCGTGTGTGAGAGTATTCTTAATCTTCCCTGGCCTGCAGTCTTGTGGTCTGTGGCCCTTTTCTGGACGCTCACACCCCAACACAATTTCTGTGCGGCACCAGAAAAGCGATGGAATTTCAAGGGAACCTCCAAAACTGGAGACGGATCGGAAAAAGGAAGAGCAACAAAAAGGGCGCCAGCTATAAATTGATTTTTTTTCACTTGGGTCAATGTAACAGGGTTGTGTTCCTTGTAATTCCCCTTGAAGCAACCTTGAAACAAGCCCACCTCGGGCTTTTTACAAGCAATGAGCACAGCATCCGCTTTGGTCTTGGGGGAAATCGATCCAGGCGCTCGCGCCTCGCTTTCGATCCGATCCGAGGCTGGGGGTTTTTCGGCAGCATCCGCAAGTCACGGCCTTGGCCTTCTTCATCTCCCTGCAGTCGCTGATGCTGTCCATGGTGCAGGAGCCAGAGAAAAAAACATTCGGTCGCGGGCTGGCCCGGCGGATCTGTTATTTGAGGGCGCTTGGAATCCTCCCCCAAAAAACATAACAAAGGCGCAAGGGGGTTCTTCTTGGCTCTGCCAATCTTAATCGAAAAGGGGGTTCTTACCAAACCAAGGATGGGCCCCTTTGTTTGGGGGAATCTTGGAGTTCTTCTCTGCCAATTTAACCGAGAAGGGGGTTCTTAACAGGGACGGCCCCCCTGTTTTGGGGGGGAATGTTGGATTGGAGGCCAATCCGTTCTGAAAGCCACTGACTCACTGAATTCTTCAAGGCTCCGGGCCAGCTTCTACAGGCCGCTCAGATGGGTGAGACCCCAAAACAGGAATATATGGCTGTGGTTTTTCGTAAAAAACGGGATCCCATTTTGGGGCAGGTGAATTTGCCACCTATTTTAGTGGGGATTGGGATGTTCACTGGGGGTACGGGATTTTGACCGTAGGTCCCCCAGTAGTGCCTTTGTTTTACCCTTTGTAGAGGTTTTCAAGGGAAGCCAATAGTGTAGGAGTTGATTCCTTTTCCATTCTTTGCAATCATCGTTATTTTCAACAACCGGATCTGTTTCCCCTGGGGTTCTGGTTTCCTGAAAAGATTCGGATCCCTGGAAAGAATGGGGAAGGTACCCCTAGAAAAAGGCCACCATTGTTCACAACCCAATTTGGTCGTGTCTATCTCTTGAGGGTGCCCCTTTTCAGAGGTGTTCAAGGGAAGAAAGAAAGGGAAGACACCCTTTTTGGGGGGTCCCCTAAAACCAACACACCCATTCCTCCGGAGGTCTTGGTGAGCGATGCCTGGGTGCGAGCTGCAATCACAGCAGCAGCCGGGCTGGCCGTGACCATAACCTCCTTTTGGGCGCTGAATAGGACGGCCTTTTCAGGTGAGTCACAATCAAATCCCGGGTAAGTGAAGGTTAGGGACAATCCCAACCACAAATAGCTGCGGATATCCGCCTTCTCAATTCGTTACATGGTTCTGGGTCGACCATTTTAATACCGGGTTTTGATTATGACTTAGGTGCACATAGCTTCACACATCTTACAATTAGGTGGAGGGTACAATCGTATTGTGTGCTCTTCCAACTTCAAAAGAGGGGATGGTGGAGATGTTTGTTTGAGACAAGCGTTTCATGTGTACGTAAAATCATGCTGGAGCACTGTGGCAGTGTCCTGGTTCTGTTGGGGTCTTATGAAGGTCAAGCTTGACACAGGCCTCAGTTGAGGTCTCGGTTGCGTGTGGGTTGCAAAAACAAAGGATTCCCACAGGTACGTCCAAGATGGTTTCCACTGAGTTGGTGATTTGTGTGCTCCCCCTGTTTTATGGGTAGAATCTTGATATCCAATCTTCCATGTGTTGAGTTTGTGGTTTGTTGCATTCCCTGTTGCCCTTTGAAGGGCCAGCCTAAAAGTGTTGGTGTTCTCGGGCTATGGGGAGGGAGGCGATCACCTAAACCCAAGTTTGATCAAGGGCTGAAGGATCGGCCTAGCCCTCGCTTTGAACGGGCGGCTTTCGGTTGCTCTGGTGTTAGGTCTCTCCAACCAGTTCCTTTGGTGCATTACGCTTGGATGTTAGGACTTTAACGTTTTGCCAACCAGTGGGTTTTCCGAATTAAACCACTAAAGTTATTCACTTTTGGCAGGGGAGCAGATTTCGCAACCAAGTTTCCATGAGCCCCAAATGGAAACCGATTTGGATGCTGAAGCAGCGGATTGGTGGAAATGCCTTGAGCCGCTTTCAACTGGCCCAGCCGAACCTCAGTCCGTTAGCCTCCATTGCAAGCATCTACTCACTTCCTCGGTTCATGAACTTTAAACTTTCTGGGAAGACCATTTTAGTGTAAATATAAAGTTTGAACTTTTTCAGGCCATCCACTCCGCAAGTGAGTCTAAGATGTCGTCCAGAAACCCCCATGCCGTTCTTGTCCGCCGTGTCGTTTTGCGGTCTACAAGGCAACCTTTCCGAGTTCCTGTACTTGGCACTTTGTTGGGGGAACACGATTTTAGCGGCAAACACTCAGGAAGTGAGACGGGCATGTTGGGAGGAGACTCCTCAAACTGAGACACACCTCCCTATGATGTTGTTGAGCTTCACATGCTCTTGTGCTGAATGGAAAACGGTGGAACCAGCAAGAAGGACCCAAGCTCGGCCCTTTGGAGTCAGGGAAACCAACTAATTAGCAGGGATACAGGGGGGACCAGGGATACGGGAGGATTCCCCCTAAATGCACCTTGACTAAGTTTGATATGGGAAATGGCGCCAAGGGAATCCTTCTATATCCCCGCTCCCTCCGTATCCCCGCTTGTTCGTTTGTCCAGTTGGAGCCAGGGTTGGATACTGTAGTTTGATGGGAATCCGCCTGTTGTATCTCGGAAAGCGGTGTTTTCCAGAACCATGTGGCTTGTTGAAAGGTGTTCAGCCTCCATATGGGTATCTTGTAACTGGCGTCGTCAAACCACAAGAAGGACCCGTCAAGTGGGTATATCCGATTGGACCTTCCTTTTTGATAGTTTGTCTCTACCTCAGACAATGAGGAGTGATTTTCCCATGTGACAGATAACCTTCCACAAACAAACCGGCGAGTACACAGGCTCGCTTCCTGGTTTGTGCACTTCCACTTTGTTGGTGGGAGAGTATCTTGGTCGTTGGTTCTATTGTTTTGATGAAACGTGCGTATTCGCGTGAGGGTGATTGCTTGTGTAAGTGTCTGCGTGTGTGTGGGGCCTCAACCGAATTGCATAAGCATCATGATTGTTTGGTAAGCTTCAAAGGGTGTGACGTGTTTTCACATAGCTAGTGTTGTCGTTGCTTCTGTTTTGCCAGGCTGTGTGGCCAGCCTGTCTTTGTCAGTACATAACCCGCGTGCGATTGTATGGTAGCTTTAGCTGCACGTGTGGTTGCGTGTGTGTGTGTGTGTGTGTGTGTGTGTGTGTGTGTGTGTGTGTGTGTGTGTGTGTGTGTGTGTGTGTGTGTGTGTGTGTGTGTGTGCGTGTGTGTTGGTATTGTTTGTTGCCTTTATGTGTCCGTGCGTTTGTGTTTGTGCGTGCGTGTTAGACCAGCTTTTCGCTGTCAACACATAGCAAGCATCTTGAGGAGATGTAGGATACGTTCAATGGTTGCATACTGTGACGGGCAAGGATGACGGGCATGATAAGGTTGAGGAATCATCACTGCAGACTGCAACATAAGCATAGGCGCAAATGGAGTAAGATCTCCGCAACAGTTTCATCATGATTTGTTTAATATTTAGGTCCTAAGACGATTGCTGCCAGAACTTAGACATATGCTGACCTCGCAGTTGATGGATTTGCCACCTGGTCTACTAGTAGTAGTCTTGAGCAAGGGCAAAGTAAGTGCATGGGGGCGCCAACTAGGACGGGCCTCAAATGCAAGAAGTCCGAATTGTTTTTGGGTAAGCCGAAGCTTGCTCGGCATGTTGTTGAAACAAGCCACGCGCTTAAGCAACACGGCCTTTCCCCGCGCAGGATCACGCCGTACCTGGGCAGAACTGCGCTCTTCATTTGCCTGCGCTTTTTTCTTCAGCCTGGCCTGGGCGAAGCCATGTTCGTGTGGAGTACCAAGAGAGACTTCCTCTGATTTGGCAAGTTGTGATTTGATTAGAAAATGGAGCATGCCAGTCCCAAAGTTTCACCGTCCCCTGGCTTGTTCTGTTGGCCTGGTTGCACCTGACGTTTTGCTTGGATGTGCTTCGGCCTGTAATGTATGGATCCCCAATCTCTCTCGTGGTATTTTTGCGGGGCCGCTTTTGTACCGCTGCTGAATGTTCAGATACCCAAAGCGACAAGCTTTGACTCACGTGTTCTCAGTTCGAACCGGAATATGGCTTTGAAACGAGTTGCCGATAGATTGTTCAAGTTTGTGTGAAGAACATGTGTGTAGCGCACAAGTTTAAATCATGCCGCATCGATGGGCAGTGTTTTCCCTGACAGATATCCTGTCAACAACTGCAGAGGTGACGTGCAGGTGACCAGCTCTATCAGTTCTGTTTTGAGTCGGTCTTGTGAACAAGTTCAAGCCATGCCCAGCCACATTCTGGTGCTAGGGACTGATAAATTCCAGTTGCTCAAGCAATGCTATGTTCATCGAACCGGAACGGGGTCCAAGCGAAGGACTTAAGGAGCTCCTCAGGATTCCCATGGGTTTGTGGCAGAACTGTGGTGCTTGGACCTGCGTTGCAGGTTCAGTCCCGAGTCGTCCGGAGTCCCAACAAAAGCCCAGGGCAATTTCATCGAAGCCGTGCATTCCCGCATATTCCAAAGTGGCCATTTGCAGTGCAACTGGCAATGTGTCCACAGAAAAACCCTTTGGGTCTCTGGTCTGTTCCTCGGGTTTTACCCTGCCATTCCAGTATGCCCTTGTGCTAGTTGCTTAAAGGACTCTCTTTCCAAGTTCCTCAATGTTCCTCAACCTTAAACTTTTTGGGTTTGGACCAATTGAGTGGTACACAAACAGTTTGAAGAACCTTGCTGTCCCCATCTCGGTCGGACAAAAGTAACAAAAACCAGCCATGCAGGCTTGATTTCCCGTTTTTGTCGGTTGCTCATACAACCACTTGGCCTTTTTGCTCATGTCCCCCCTTGGCGGCTTATTAAAAAAATCCCCGGCGGCTTTCTCACCCCCCCCAAACCCACCCCCCCCTCCCCGTTTTTCCTCGTGTCCAGCGCATCCCAACCCCGAGGCCCAGATGGCCCCAGGCTGCAGGCCTGGCAGCTGGGCTTCGTGGACTGCTTCGGGGCCCTGGGGCTGCTGCTGGGGGTGGTGCTCTACAACCGCCACCTCACCGGAGCCTCGGAACTCGGAATTCGGCTCGGAATGAATTCGCGCGGAAGGCGAAGCGTGCGGGGAAGCGGGGCTCGGAGTGGCCGAAGCGGGCGGGAGAGCCCTGGCGTTGTTTTTTGTTTGGTTTTTGGTTGTTTGCGTTTCTTCCTAAATTGTCGCGAACAAAAACAAGCATCGCCGCTCTTTTTTGTTTGCAAAAGGTGTTCTTTGTTTCACCCAATCAGCACAAAAGGAATGTGCAGCTTCTGTTTGCGGCTGTCTGCACACAAAATGCAGCTTCTGTTGTTGCTGTGTTTTGCTTTTTGTTGTTTCTCGCTCGCGGGAGGAATGAAGTCGTGAACGCCCAATGCCGGTCATTGTCCTTGATCTGCTCCAATTCCTATTTCTCAGGATCGCGATCCAGGTGCTTTTCGTTCGGCCGGTTTGGTTTCATCACCCTCCTGGATTCTGCACGTGTTTTGTCAGTTGCTTTTATTAGTTGGCCAGCATTATTGCCGGGGATTTGAAGCTGGTCCCTTGTGCCACAGGCGCTAAAACGGGAAATTGCACGCCTGGCCCGGAATATATGTCAGTAGGTCTTTGCCAAAGGACAGCAGACAATTGGAAATCCTCAGGATGCCATACTGTGGATGTACGCAATCCTGCTCCACCTGAATATCCTTGGAATGACGCTTCCCCATTTTTTTCTTCTTTTCAGGCGATTCCTCAGCAGTGGTGGTTTTTAGAATCTTTCCATGGCTTTGCCCGGTATTCGTTGGGAGGTTTTGTTACCCACCCACTCACCCACCGACCCACCCACCCACCCACCCACTCACCCACCCACCCACGGCCGACTCTTGTCCTTTTCGAGTCTCCAGTGACGATTGATCAGGATTTTCCTATCGCCGCATCTTCCTGGTCATCCAGCTGACCTTCTTTTTCAGCCAGCTGCTGGAGGTAGTGCTGGTGCTTCGCTGGAACAGGGCCCTGGGGATTCCCGACATCTTCTTCCTGGTCGGCACTCGGGGCTGCACTTTAGTGACAAAACTTCAAAGTTCCAGCCACGCGGATGTCCGCCCTGCCTGTTCTTTGCGTGGTTTTGAGTCGACCTTGTGGACTGATTGAAATAGCCTGACTTGACTATGACTCAATTAGCTCGTCAATGTTCAAAGGAGAGCGTGGGATATGATGCTGCAGGTTCTGACTGCATGACCGCAATGCTCTCTTCAGAAGCATTCGCAGAGGTGACGACACCTTCGCTTTGATGGCTTCTCGCGCCTCGTTTGCACATATGTGCCATGAACAACGTAATGAAGGAACACATATCAATATGACGAAGATAACAGACTTGCAATGCTGCACGCATGTACTTGCATACGTCCTTGCCTGCCAAGCAGGTGATCAGAGAAGTTGCTGCATGAGTCGTTTTCGAGCGCTCACTATCATGACTTCATGGGGGCTGCGGGGGAGGGAGGAGAGGGGGGGAGGGAGCCCAATTAAGCCGTGATTAAGGCCTTATTAACAGCTTATTTGGGCTTCCTCCCCCCCCCTTCCCTCCCAGCCCCCATGATGACTTCAAAGCCCCGGCATTGTCAACAAGTTTCAAACAGGGCATGGAAGCAACTCTGCGCCGCGCACATTTGTTTGTTAATCCGGCCCATGTGGCTGTGGTTGTCAAAACCAATGGGATCCCATTTTGGTTGGTAGGTGCACCACCCATTTTAGAACCTATTTTAGCGGGGATTGGGATGTGCACTGGGGGTACGATTTGGATTTTTCGACCCCACGGCCATGTCAAGCCAAATTCCCTTTGGCTCCACGTCGTTTTTTTTTTTACAAACATCCTCCGGCGTCCAAGCCGAAGTCCCTTTGGCTCCACGCCGGGTCCTCCAAAAAATCCGCAGTCCGCCGTCCGCTCGACTCGTCCGCTCGGCTCGTCCGCTCGGCTCGTGTGAGGCATGTTCTCGGTGGTCTTCAGCGTCTTGGCCTCCAAGGTGTGCCCCGTGAACCTCGAGGCCACGCTCTTCGCGGTGCTCATGGCCATCGCCAACTTCGGCTCCTCGGCCCTCGACAGTTGGGCGTGAGAGGGCGGGACAGAAGCTGCAGTGGCTGTGGATTTGTTCGGGACATTGACCCCCGAAAGCTCCAAATACCCTCAATGTGTTTTGGGGGTATGATGCAGACCCACCAAAAAAGGTATTTACCGTGGAACACCAGGTTTTCCGGAGAAAAAAAGAGGCAAACAAGCTGAAGAAGCGGGCCACTTGCCGGTGCTCAGCTGGGAATGTAGGAATGAACCCAGGCCTAGGGACTCCCTCACTTGCGGGATGGTTGGGAATTCGGGTCATTCCATTTCTCATTCCCTGCATTCGCACCGATCGCAAGTTGATCATCATTTATCTAGGTGAATTATAACGACCTCACACGACCTCACACCAAATGGTGGTTTATGTGGGGAATAGCTCCCCAACCACCTTATTTCAGGTTGGTGAAATATTATAATTCACCCAGATTTATCACTTTCGGGCCGCAAGCCCGGACTTGCTGTGCGGGAGTTGTCCAGATGGTACTCTTTGCGGCTTCTTGGGGGAAACTGATCTTGGGTCTGTTTCAAAATAGGGGAACCCTCCGATGTTTTGTTGGTGTCCCTCTACAAAGCAACCCCCAAAAAAGTAAGAAGGGTACCTCCGAAAAAGAGAATCTACGTATTTGTGCCATCGAGGGGGAGGCTTGGATTTCAGGCCATTTATTGTTATTTATAATAGGTTTGTGTAACCTCTCCAAAAAAGGACGAGCCACCCGTTGTTGCCACCTTCCATGGCCTAAGTGTTCGGTGGGCCTGTGCCATCTCTCCCTTCTCTCACGAGCTTCGCTGAGTCGCACGAATGCGTCGCGAGGCTGGGCGGTGAGCAACTTCTTGGGGGTGGCGCTCTGCGAGGCTTGGGGCCTGGTGGATGGCAACTTCGATCAGCTGCCCGAGGTGGGAAGGAGGGCGCGGGGGGCGAGAGAAGCGAGCGGCTTTTGGAGGCGCCGGAAGGAAGGAAGGGCCAAGTGGGTATGGGTCAAAATGAAACCGCAGGGTTTGGTCTATGTTTCCACTTACCAGGGCAAGCCATGTTGGGTACATGTTTTTTTGACCCACAGCCAAGTGAGCAATCGAAAGAACTCGGCGGAGGTTTCTGGAAAAAGACGTGTCTTTGAGGTTTAATCTTTTGAGGCCGGGGTTGGCGTGGATGTTTCATGGGCGTCTCATCGGGTTCAGAGCACGCAGTGAGCCGGGTTGGAACAACACAGCTTTTTGTTGATTGCAAACAGCTTGGCTGTCCTGTTTGAAGGAAGCAAGCTTCCCACTCCATTTTCTGAAAGGACGATTTTTCTAAAGGGAGTCGATTTCACTGGACAGATGTTCTCATTTTCCAGGGGACGAAAACGCAAATGGAGGACTGTGTTCAGGTCGGAGCTTCCAAACGCCACGCCCTCTGCCATAGGCAGTGCTGACCAAAGCGCTGACCCGGTTGCTGCCGATTCCCCTCATATTGCTGACTCCCACCTTCACACCTCAGGACTGATACTGCGATAGAACAAGCCTCTATTCAACGTGGCACCTGGCAGGGGTGCCTCTCCCTCCAACATGGTTTTTGGCTGTGGGTCAACACCAGTGGGATCCGAGTTTGGTTGGTAAGTGCACCACCCATTTTAGAACCTATTTTAGTGGGGATTGGGATGTTCACTGAGGGTACCGGCTTTTGACCCATGGCCATTTGGAAGTCCCTTGCTGAGATACAATCAGACAGATGCCAATGGGAGGATGGGCAATGTCTGGCATGTTGGCTTCCGTTGCACCAGAGGTGGAGTCGCATCACTGCTCAAGAAGTACAGCGCCAGTGCAGTGAACGACGCTTCCGCACTCTGGTAGTGAATCCCACTACTGCAAGTGAGGTCGCTGCGTGTTGCGTGTTCATTCTAATTCTGGCGAGGCAGCCTGCCTCGGCAGATCTGTAGAGGAATGTTTTGACACGGATCCTGCTTGCCATACTGAGAGGATCACCAGAAAGCTAGGAGACGTTGAGTCAGTTCACCCATAGTCAGTTTCGGGTAGACTATTCTAATACCGTGTTTTTGCTTGTGACTCAGTTCACCCATGGGGACAAATCTCTTCTATGGACCTGCACCCAGTTGCCCAGTGGATTCCGCCCATTTTCCCCCTTTTTTTGGGAAGGGTTCCGATTCCTTCAAACCCAACCAACCAGAAAAGCTTTGCCGTTCCCCTTAGCAGGACGGCCTTCTTCTTTCCCCCATGGAAATTTGGGCGAATCTGAGCCCAAGACTTTCCCTTCGTACCTTAGGTCCTTTTGGCTTCTGAAAAAACACCCAGAAGCCATCCTCAGGTACCAAGGGAGTTAGACCAGACCTTGCCCATCTTTTTCCTATGAAAAATCCTAGGCTTCTCCTAGGCTTCTCCACTCCTGGTACCAAACCAAACCTCTCGGGAGCGCACCACGTGGTTGCCACGTCCGCTCGCGGAAACCGCGAGGATCCTGTGCCCACGAACCTGAAGGCGGAGGTGGAGGACTCCTCTTGAGGTGACTTCAGCTTGGTTCCCCGTCCGGATCCTTTTTTGTTTAACCTGTATATATATATATATATATAGAAATACAAGATATAAAAGTCAAACAACACACCAAGCAAGACATGTGTTTTGGAGGGTTTAGCGATAATTTAAACTTTTAGCAGGGGATCAGAAAACTGACAGCCCAGTCAAGTGATGGCATTGTGTTCACAAAGAGTTGCTTCCTTTCAGCAGATGTTGTCCATTGCGTTCATTTCGACGTGAGTGGATTTCCGTCAACACAGGCAGCAATCTGCTTTACGTGGGGAAACAACGAGCAGAATTTCCTGGCTTTCCGGCACACGAGCAACACTTTTCTTAATCCACAACCAAAACACTGCTGGAGCTGATGCACGCCAAAACCGGCGACACGTGCGGTAAGGGTTTGCCGGTTTGCCACGCCAGCCTCAACATGTTGTGTATGTGCCTGTTGCTTTAATCAGATATATCATTCGTAATTTGCCCCTGCCACGCTTCTTGTTTCTTCCGCATGTTGGAAATCCATCGGAGTTTTTGAAACTTGGCTACCTGAGTGCACCTCTTTGAAGTTGTGCAATGCTCATGCGACACTCCCGTTGCCCGTGTGGTGTCAGCCTGCAGCAATGTCCTGTTCGGCGAGCATGAAAGGGATTCAGTTGTTGGAGGACTTGATGCTTTGCGATCGCTTTCAACTCAAGCTTGCCAGGGTTGCGCATGCCTTGACAGCTGACCATCAATGTGGGCGGTGTGTCAAAATTAAGGACCGACCCGCAATTCAACAGTGGCAATCTTCACACAGCCGATCCTTTTCAAGCAGATGCATGGCATTTGGAAAGAAAATAAGCTAAGTGCAAAGAAAAAAACTATCGACCCATGTTTGTACTTCCGAAATGTTTGCTTCAATCTGATGCATTTGCAGGAATCCCAGGAGATGATGGAGGAAGAGAAGGCCTAGTGCCTAGTAGCTTCGGCGAATCACTCGAGTGAAGAGCTAGGCGTACATAGCTGCCGTTACAAATCAATGCGGGGGTTGATCAATATTCCGGTCGGCCCCCGGTTTTGACCATGGGTAACTTTTCCCATGTGGGACATATGAAAGATCAGAGTTGTTTTTCGTGGTTGCCCCAATGGTCATCCCACGTAAAGGACCTTTTGATCAATCCCCATATCTCATTGCTTACTTGCTAGCTTGGCACTTGGCACATGCAAGCAAGCTAATGCATGTTCCAGATGCCACCTTAATCTTTTGGAGGACTTTCTCAAAGACCTCAGCGCCTCATTTTTCAGAACCGGCCTTGAAGGCCATTCGCAGTCAGCAAAGGCAACCGTGCAGGGAGTATCCTTTGTCAGTGGAACGAGCCGGTTGGTCAAGCCCAATGAACCAGCGGGTTGCTTTCATACGGACCACCCCCAGAAACAGGAACGACCCAAGATGCATGCATTGCTTGCTGGTGCGATAGGTAGGGAATGACAGAGACCGGGTTTTAGGAATGAACCGGTTTTGGGGATCCCTTTAAAGGAAACCATTTTGTTTGCGTTGGGGCATTCCAACTCATTCCCTGCCTATTGAATCAGCAAGAAATTGTGAAGTTGTGCGCTGAATGGCGCCCGGGCGCGATTCATCGCAGGCAGGCTTCTCGCATGCCTTAAAGAGCGCGAATTTGCGTTGCACGCGGTTCTTTGGCTTCTCCTTTGGCTTCGACCAGAAGCTGCGCGGAGATTCATCAAGAATCTGTAGTCTCTCGTTGAACAGCTGAAGTCTTTGGTGCATTTTGCTTGGATGTTAGGACTTTGACTTTTTGCCAACTAATGGGTTTCCATTAAACCACTCAAAGTTAAACTTTTGGCGGGGGAGCAGAAAGCTACCATGCCTATAGCTATGCATAGCGCGACTTGTATGTGTCAGATGTACAGCTAGAATCCTCATTGCTTTGGACAGCATGACCGGCGCATGTTTGGAAATCAGCCCAGACCCCACCCAGAAAGTTTACACACTTTCTGCAGCCTGCTTGATCTACAAAGCTCTGGGAATCTAGACCAGCAGCCGCCAACCTGAACAGTCTCAGCTTCAAACAACGCCTTGAAACATAAGCTAGCAAGCTTGCCCTTGCGTTCTCTTGGCAGGCCAAAGAACATGTCAGCAACCGATTTTCTGGAGCACCGTGTGCCTGTTTAACTTCCTAGTTGAACACAGGCCTGTTTGCTTCTATTGATCAACGCCCAGCAAGACGAAGCCAAGTTTGTGCGAAAGGATGGCGCAATCGCAACCACTCCAAAGCAAACGCGAAAAGCCACCGCTCCCGGGTGATGCTTCTCATGCGTGCGGGTGCTCAGAATTGGCCCGCAACAGGCACCTGCCCTTGGGAGTAGTGCTTGATCGAGCACGGGCGCCAGCAATTTGTTCGAAGGCTGCAGCAAGCAGCTGTCTAGTTCATCGGATATGTACATGGGATGTAGTTGGTAAGCGCTTTGTCCCTGATCTCAGGACATGTCGGAGGCTTGGTGTTCGTAAACATTTCTGGTTTGCTTGCACCAGTGAGCCAGTGACAACTTCTTGTGTATCCGATCCCATGCAACAAGTGAGGCACTCACTGTCAAGGCAGAATTGGCCATCTGGTTGATTGTTTGGCTGATTAAGCAATCTGTAGAAGGTACATGAAGGTAGCAGTAGGAAGCGACTGATGCAAACCTGAATTCCGGGCTTTCAGAAGGATTGCTTTGTCCTATGAGAAATAGGCAGCTAGCTTTGCACTTTGCAACGTGCGAGGGCGCAACGACTTCTAGAATCATCCTCGTTTGTAGATTGCGAAGTTTGAATTTCACAATGTCTCCTTGTGGCGTAATAGAACTCTTCAGCATGGCGGCTAGAACGCTCCACTGGAGAATGCACCAAGCTTCCTGCTTGTTAAGGCTCGGATGCCGAGCCAGCCAAGCTTTCTGCGAGGCAGGGCGTGGCTTGCAAAGTGGTGCCAAAGTGGATGGGCAAAGCGTGTCTTCTTAGGTTCATATACGGGTTTTGATGAGAAAAGCAATCGCCAAGCTTCTTCGTGTGAAGAAATACACATGTTGCATCCAGCGGGAAGGACTTTTGAAAAGTGGTGTTGTGTGTTGCATGTTTCTGCGGCAGGGTTGCTCAAACCTCATATATCCCAGACAAGCAGTGCAGCTCTAAGGTTGTTCCTGTTACAACCTGGGTGTACACCCTACACAATTATCCCAACAATCCAACATACACCAAAATGAGAAGGCTTTATCTGGAAATAGGCTCGAATAAAATGATTCCGCAGAGGGCGTAGTCCCAGTGTGTACTGTAATAGGAAAACCCTTGAACAGCAGAGTTGATAATCCACAGGATCCCAAACATAATGAAGGAGAGGTGGCTGGTGGACATATCTAATATGTCCTCTCCTTTTTTTTTGTGTGGGATCCTGTGGATTTTGCCGGCTTTCATGTTTCGGGTGGGTGGGGGGTGGGTGGGTCAGGGGCTAAAGAGATTAACCATGAGAGCAATTTGACCTCTGAACCAAACTGTTGGCCAATCAAATCAGTGCTTCGCCAGGGGTGCTCTTGCCACGGATCTGACATATCATATCATAGTCTAAAAAGTGTCAAACTTTACCTAATGTGATGAAGGCAGCTGATATGTGTGTGTGTGGGCATGTCGGTGTGGAGTCAGCATGATAAGTCTAAGCCTTCAGATAAGTTGATTGGACAGTTTGGTGCTCAGTGTTCAGTTCCTGTGCACTGTCAAGGCATTGTGGTAAGAGTTGGTTGTGTGATCTTTGCGGCATTCTGATTGAATTGGGGACCCCTTTGGTGGACATCAAAATGCGGTGGGGAGTCATGCCCAGCATTTGGCAGTGGGTCAAAAATAGGGAAACCCTAAAATGGCTTGCCCTGGTAGAAGGAAGCATGGACGATTTAACTTGCGGTCCGATTCCTGGTGGTTTACTTTTGGCCCACAGCCATTTCAAGGGGTTACCATTAAAATTCACGGCGCCATTTTTATGGTTGTTGTTGGGAAACATTTTACATTTTTGCTTATTGTGGTTTAGTGGGAAATCCCCACTTGGCTGCTAAAATTTAATTTGTTGCTCCCCTTTCAACGTCAACCAAGTATTTTGATCGCATGCTCCAAGCTGCGGGCGAAACTCCGGCCACTGCGTGTTTGCTTTGTCGATGTGCTGCAAGAGTCACGTGCCTTCAGTCTGCCTCAGGGTGATATCCACATTTGTTTGGCATGCATTTGAATCCAGACCATCATCGGATTTGTTTCAGCCCGCAACAGCTGCTGGCTTCTTTCGATGATGTGGATGGACGAAATGCATTTCGCACCAAGGGAAACCATCGTTGAAACCATCACTTTTCTTCCCCAGAATTAGCTCCCCTTTTTCTTTTTATGTTTTATTTTTGCTTTTTTGGGGTCCCTTTGTTTTCCACGAACCAGCCAAGCTATGTATATATATGTATATATATATATTTGCTGGGGTCCTTTTTCCAGCCTAATTTTATTGCAACACAGAAAGGCAAACCGTGTCAAGCTTTTCTCCCACCACGCTACTTCCGTATTTCTGCGCGTGTGATGAAGCTTCAAGGTATAGATCAATGCCGTATGTCGAAAAAGGATGCAGACAAACATCGATACAGTAGACAAACATGGTGTTGCTTCCTCGTTTCCTCCTTGGTGCTCATATGCAGAAGGGCTCCAAGGCGTTTTGGGCCCACATGCCAAGGGCTTGGTGGTTTGGTCCCCAGAAGCTGGAGCTGTATGCGTGTGAAGCTCCTGCTCCAAGGCCTACCTTTTTGGTGCATGGCAAGCACCTCCTTGGCAGTCGGGGGAAAATATGAGGCGAAAAATCGGGTTGGTGCTGGGAGTAGGGGGCAAATAGGACGCTGAGACAAAAAATCAGGGCTCTAGAAGTTTGCTTCTCATGTTCCGACCCACAGAGAAACAGAGCAAAGCTCGAAGATTGATTGTTCCAAAAGGCCTGTTCTGGAAGTTCGGTTGTTGCAACCACGTCAAGCCAAACGGAAGCTGCTGGCAACGCGATCGTGGGCTGAGAGTTTGGGGAATTCGGGATCCAGAAGTCATGTTGCCCAAAGCGCATCGCCTGGTTTCCTTCCATTTTGATTCTGCTGACTGAGTCGTGGCCATAACCATACAAACACACACACCAATTCAGGGCCACGTGGGCAAGAGTGATGCAACAGTCGGGGTTGCAGCGATTTCGGCTGCAGAGGGAAAGATGTACATCAGTTTGTCCTTACACACTCAAAAGTGGCCTCACTCTGGCGTGGGGGTATTGTCCAGCCACGCCTAGACAGCGCCGCGTCTGAGAAGCGCGCCATAGCCAAGCCTGTCAACCCGGTGAGGCGCACTGCCCCGGTGTCGGCGCGAGACTCGCGGATTTCGCAAAATCATACGCAGCGCCACTAATCAAACGGTTGCAGACGCGTGACACACGCCTTCCGGCTCTCAGGCACCGCCCGCTCCAGGCCGGAGTCCGGCCGGAGAGTGTGTGTGCCCGAGAGGGCGTTAAAGTCTTTTGTTTGGGTTTGAATTCGCTGTAAACACGTGTCACGTGTATACAAATATAGAAGTATGTATATATATATATATGTAGAAGACCCTCACTTCAACTAACGTGTCCATGCTAGAGGGAAGGGTTTACTGTTGTACATATATATATATATATATCTGATATATATATATATATATGTATGAGGATTGACCAGAACCCCCCTGTAGCTTTCTGTTAGTACGGACTGAATACGAAAGCATATTTGCTGTTACGGCGCTGTGGAGCGCGGAAGGGCCAGCGGAAGTTTCGCGGAAGGGTATGTGCTATTACGGGATGAAGCTCGTGTGCCACACGTGTGTTGAAAAGTTGCGCTGCTTGAGCTGTGGCCGCTTGTGTGCCACACTGGTACTTAGCACTTGTTTTGTTCAAGCTGATCTACCACAGCGCTTTCGTGTTAAGCTGAGAACGATACCCCGGCACCCGCGCGACGAAGCGATACCGCCCATTGCCTGGAGCCAACTCGAGCTGCCAAAGTGCACCTTGCGCGT